TGTGTGCGTGTGTGGATGGAGTGTGAATGGCTGTGACCAGACACAAAGGATTGAATGAGCACACCTGAATGACACTAATCAACATGCAGTGTTGATGGTATGGTTTGACCTCAGACAAACACACGTGCGATGTGGCAAGAAAAAAAGGTAAATTATACAGTACATAAATGTGTCTCTCTTCTTCTCTGGTTCTGTTCTGTCAGGTGACCGACATTGCTGATGCCATGATACTGAAGCAGCTGTTCGAGACGCTGTTCAAGACCGGAGTGGTTGTGGTGGCCACCTCCAACAGACCCCCTGATGGTACGACGACCAGTGTCTGAACACATATGTATTGTACTTTTTGTGTGTTTTAAGCTGTTGCTCGTTAATGATTCATTATTGTTGTTACTATAGGAACAACACAATCTAATTTCTAATCTTAAACAGTTTACAACACAATTGAGTAAATAGGTAGGATGGTTTAGTACAACTTTGCAGCCATCAGTAACACTGTAGTAGCACTCTTTAACGTAAAGCAATGAGCCAAATAAATCCTCAAAAAACCATTAACTCTAACAGAAGTTACAGATCCATAGTATAGTCCTTTGCTCCACACAATAATTAAAGAACCAGTTTGTAGAATTTAGTGGCATCTAGCGGGGAAGTTTCAGCCTTTTGAATACAGCTCAGCCTTCCGAGTCTGCCGGAGAAACTAAAGTGAACATGAAACATGAAAGACTGTGTCTCGAGCCAGTGTTTGGTTTGTTTATTCTGGGCTACGGTAGACACATGGCCACCTCTCTGTAAGAGGACCCACCTATAAATTATATTATATTAAGGTAATTATACACCGATGAAAACATATCAATGAATATTATATTCCAGTTCTGCTGATAGATCCTTCTAAATGTTGCACACTGGACCTTTAACTCAACTGGCAATGACATCCTAAATAATAAGTGGTAAAAGTCAAGGAGCATCTTAGAAACATTAATACTAGCACAAAATAGTAGCAACAATAAATATTCAGTTCTACTGATATTGCAGGAACATAATGGTACATAATTTTAAATAGTTGCATTACAACATATATCTAAATTACTTACAAACAAATAGGGTAGTTTTCAACTGAAATGAATGCTTTCTAACACTGACTCTATCCTGTTGTTTACTTGTAGACTGACTACAGCTACAATTTAGCATCACAAGTAACCATTGTATTGCTTTTACCCATTTGTAATGTTGACAAATCTTTTATAAGAAAGAGGAAATGTAAGAAGACCTATTTCGCACCTGGAAGATATCTAATGCACCCACAGCCATATTCATATAATACTGAATGTGAAAAAAGTAAGTGCCTTGCATAAGAGAGCGGATTTGTCCATGCCAGAAAATTAAACCAACAAAATGTTAGTTATCACACAGTTTCCAGATGCTCCACTGAAGTAAAAATGATTTAACTTTTGAAAGCACATAATCCTTTTAACGTTTAACTTCTAACTGTTCATCAAAATTAAACACATCAGATAACTGTTCTCCAAAATGCCACATTATTTTCCCCAAATAAATGTGGACGTCTCACCTTCATCAGGGTGGTATCTGAAGTTGTTTCTTGATTTACATTACATCAGTTAAGTATGTGACTTATTAATCATATTAATTTGAGTGGTGTTTGGGGAATAGAGCAAGGTATGTAGGTGGGAGATGAGTTTCACAACATGTTTAGTTTTGATATATGTTTACTGAAGCTCACAGTGGTCTGCACTTTGCTGTGAGTGCATGGTCAAAATTACAAACTGTCAATAATTGTCAGCTTTTACCACTTGCAAGAATGCAAGGAGTAGCTTTTATTGCCAGCTCAGCTCAGTAGGACAGAGGAGGCAAAAGGCTGACAGTCAAATATTGTCAAACAATCCCAGAAGCTCTAAATGTCCACTTAATTTTCAGCAAGCTGTAGATCATTGGCCTGCAGGTAAAATGACAAATAATATCACAATGTTTTCTTCTCCTCCTCTTGAACCAGCAAATTTCTCAGTTACTTTACATATATCTACATTATTCACTTAATACTTTTATCCACAAGTGCTCGGCTCCAGCAGTAATACAACCTTTAAACGGGCTTTGATGTTGCATTTAGTGCCAGTGGAGTAAGGTTGGAGAAAGAATGAGCAAGGCGGTGATCAAGGTGGAGATAAATGCATGATGTGCTATCTGACGTCTTTCTTTCCCGGGAAAGATGTTGATGTCTCAAAGTCTCGAGTGGGTACGAAGTGGATGGCAGCAAGATGGCTCTCGTAGACAAAGACGCACATCTCTGATATTTACTAGCTATTAACAACAAAGCGCCAAACCATGCAAACTTGATAGAGAGCCTACTTGGTATTAATTACATGGTTAATGGAACACTGAAAGCCATAAGAGACAACTGGACATGAAAGGCATACATTTTCCATCTTTATTGATGTGGAGATGCTGCTATCAAAAAGCCCTAGATGTGTTTGGAGGGGGAGTTTAGAGATAGGTTTTTACTAGAAAGGCTAAAGTAGCGTTTTGTTGTCTTTATACACTGATGGAGTAATGAGATGAGGAGGTTTAGGTGGATTAATTGTGTCTTTTTGGAGTGGGACATCCTCGGTGTGAGCTTATTTTATTCCAGTTTGAGTAATAGGTTTCCTTCAGAGTGGCGTGGGTTACACCTATCTATACATAGCAATCAACAGTATATCATGGAAAGCACAATTTTCAAATCAGACATGATACCCTTTGCTGTCTTAGGAAGAAGTTTGACGTTTTCGGTAATACGCTTATTTGCCTTCTTGTTGAGAGTTAGGTGAGCAGATTGATGCCACTCTCATATCTGTACACTAAATATAAAGGTACCATTATCAGCCAGTTAGCTTGGCTTAGCACCAAGACTGGAAATGGGGAGATTGCTAGCCTGGTTTTTCCAAGGGTAGCAAATCCTCCCTATGAATGCTTCTAAAATTCACTCATCAACATATATCCTGTTTTTGTCAATCTGTACAAGAACTGAAGTGTATAAATGACACAATTCGGTTTTACGGGACATTATATTGCAGACTATTTCCAGAAATTCTCCCTAACAACAAATAGTCCCTAAATCAACCTGCGTAAAACTGCAACACGTCGTTTTTATACTTCAGCTTATGTACAAATGAAACACACAAGATATAACATGTTAATTTGTTAACTTCGGAGGTGCTGGGTGGCTTTATAACTTTTGGACAGGGCCAGACTAATTATTTCAACGTCCAGTCTTTGTGCCAAGCTAAGCTAACTGCCTTCTGTCTCCAGCTTCATATGTGTTGTACTGACATCCGAGTGATGTTGATTTCCTGAAAAAACTCCCGTCAAGAAAGCGAAGAGAGCATGTTGCAAAATATTGAACTATTCCTTTAACCTTGGCAATAGTCATGTCCTATACACGGTGCAGTCTATTACAGTATAGGAGTTATGAAGCGAGTATTATTTGTGTGTCAGGTCCTACTGTAGTAGTAGCTTAGGCCCAAACATCAACAACAACCACTTGTTTGCAGCTGGAGAGAGCTTAAGCCTCTATGTGTGTTTGTGCGTGTGTGTCTTTGTCCATGTTTGTGTGTGTCCCTATCTGTTTTATCTGTCTATCAGGGATGCTACTTCAGATGTAATTTGTTCCAGCCGAGCTAATTGAAACCTCTATTCAGCGAGCTGCTGTGGACATTGTCCGCGCTGAAAAGGCGACAGTCCTTTCTCCCGCCACCATTGTTTGGGAATGTAATGAATTTTATGTTGCTGCCGCTGCCGGTAGAGAAATCCATTTTTCTCTCCTGGTCCCAGTCCTTTTGTCGTGCCTCCCCACCCATCCTTCAGTTCATCAATAGCCACTTTATCTGCCAATCTGCGGCGGGGGAATGACATTATTAGGAGGCTAAACAGCAGCTCTAATACAGGCCCTCCCCTCCTCTTTCAGATCTGTACAAAAACGGACTTCAGAGGGACACCTTCCTACCTTTCATCGACGTGCTGAAGGTAGAGACAAAGTCATCCCTCTCTCTTGTCTTGTTAATTTATTCATTTGTTTATCACACACACATCATAACGCACATGCACACACTCGCATGTCCGCCTCTGTCCCTGTGTCTGTCTTTTTTGCAAGTTGCTCTTTAGTGGTTTGATGTTTTCTGCTTCCTGGATGCCTCGCACAGTGTCACAAAGCTGTCTTTGATCATACCAGGGCACGGTGAAAGACTCAGAGAGAGCGAGAGAAAGGTAGGGAGAGATGGAAAGAGTGTTGGTGAGTACAGGTAATGTGAATGAGAGATGGGCGGACAAGCTGAGAGACTGACCCAGACTGCTTGCATTTCAAAAGTAAGGGGGGTGGGCGAGTGGTGGAGGAGAGGAGAGGAGAGGAGAGGAGCGATGTGGTGGTTAGCATTTCCAGCGAAAAATCTACTTTGCAATTTAAGCAGGTAGCACCATTATCCTGCCTGCATCTCAGATGATCATTGATGTGTTTGGAGTGATCATGATCATAAATAATTGCATAATAATTTGTTGTCATGCATTTTGCAACAGAGGAGGGCAGCATTCTTGCACTTTTTATTGGTATTTAGTCCAAATAGTAAAGCCAAGCGATATCCAACTGCAGCATATTAGGCCACAAATGCACTGCTAATTCCTCACTTTTCATAAGCAATAATGACAGACACTCAGTAGAGGCCACACTGTCAATAGTAGAGGCAAACAACAACTAACAGAAACTGGTTTAATTTTACACACAGGACCACTCATTCTGTCTATATCTTAAACATATGAACTCAGACACAGTCGTGATTAGGTGGATGTGAAGTACAATAACCAATAGGTTGTACGTTTTACATACTGTGACTATACACAGCTGCTTATAATGCATAACTGTTGATGCAATAATTACGGTAAATTCTGACCTGGCATTGTTTGGTTAACGGGGCAAAGTATAATTTCCTTGGCTTCACAACTTCTGAGAGTGATTCCCAAATGTTTTCGACTAAGCACCATTACCAGGATGATTAAGTTACCTTAATGACAAAATACACTGAATATTTGAATATATACAGATACACAAATTCAGTTGTGTCATTTGGCAAGTTTGAGCTATTTTTGTGCAGTCTTTCCTCCAAAGTATGCAGAATTGTTTTTTCTTTTTTTTTTTGATAGATGTTTCTACAGACATACAAACATACACATGTTAAAATCACAGTGCTGCTTGAATTTTATGATTTAGTATATTTTGATATATTGGTCTTTTGAATTAAAAAAAAAACTTACTAACAATATATTGATACTTGAATGTGCAAAGGTGAATTTAAAAATATATTACATAATGCAGGAAAAAGCTATTTATCATTTTTACACAGATTGTCCAATGTAAAATATAAATTGACTTAAACATTGCATCACACCTGAGCAGATTTAAGTACGTCTGTTAAGAATTATATGTTTCAGCTACATATTGTTCTCATAGGCTAACCCTTTGCAAACCAAATTTAGGACTCTTAGCAAAACATCAGCTTCCACTCTATAACATGAGTTGATAGTTTAATCTGATTGGCCTCAAAACTCCTCTACATATGATAATTAGTATGTTGTTGCAAGATAATCATGATCCCATTACATGTTACATCACAAACCTCAGTGCGAATACTGTTGTATACTAAATAAGTAGTTTGCAACTCATGTGCTTTCACAAGGGCAGCATGGTTGATCTGCAGCGCCTAGGGTCATCACCGCTCCACTGTATCTTCACACGCACACACACAGAGTGTGCCTCTGACACACACAAATGTAAGCGCACTACAACCGGGGAGGCCTTGGAGTCACCCTGCTCCCCACCCACTCTCCCAGCAGCACCCTTGCCCTCTCTAATCCACCCTCATCAAGGTCCTGAATGCCTGTTGTCCCTCTCTGCCCCGCACTACCTCTTCTCTTTCAGGGTCCCATGTTCCCCTTTGTGAGGCCATCTGGTTTTCAGGGTCGGGGTTTTTTTTTTTTTAGGGGTGCAAGGCATTCTCTATAGCAGCCTGTTCTGTAAAGTTAAAGCGTGTTTTAGCGGGGTCACGCTGCTAACTAGCTGACCCTTAATAGATTGAATTAATGCTTGCAGCGACCACTGGTGCGGGTCCTCCTCCCTGATGCTATTCGCTCTAGTATATGCACGACTGAGTGTGTTTCTATAGCGAGCGAGGGAGTGAATGCGGGTGTTAAAAAGTAAAAAAATAGCCCCTGACCTCTCCTCCCTATCACCTGAGCTGGAGTGGTAGAGGTTAATCCACCGCCTCTGTCCGCCTGGGTTGACGTCTTTATTTAACTATTGACTTCTGATTAGTTTGGACCCCCTTTTTCCTCAGCGCCCCACCCCCTCCCCTCCCCAAATCATCCAGCTTCCTAATCTTAAAAATAAGAAATCATTAGATCAAGTACAAACTTTTAAGTAGATAGACTTGCCAGATGTGGAAAGCATACAACTCCCCAGAACTTAAAAGTCCCTGACTGCTTTTCACATTTTAGTTTGTTTACTAGTTTTTTTTTTTTTCATTTGCAATTTCTTTTCCTTTTTAGCATCTCTGTAGACTCCATTGGGGAATCTATTCAGTTGTTTAGGCTTTTTTTTCCCCTTTGTAGCCATGGCAAAGCTCAGAGTTCTGTAAAATACAGGGTTTAAGGGCTTTTTTAATGGACACTGCCACTATTGTAACTAAGACACTCTTTACTAAGACACTCTTTCTCTCTCACAAACTGTCCTCCCTCTCCACTCATCTTTTCATCACCCATCCTCTCTCTACCCCTATATCCCTGCTCTTTATTCTATTACTATCCTGTTCTGCTCGCTGGCTTTACTCACCCAAGGTCAGGTCCCTGTATTTTAGTAGCAGAATAGTGACTTTATTTTCCCTCCGCTTGTTCGATTGCAGTTGTGCACAATGCTGCCGAAGGGAGGGGGACATGACAACAACCCTGAGGCAACTTTGAGTATCCATGGGTTTCCTGCTGTTTTTAACCCTTCTTTTGATCCACTCTCCTTCTCTTTTTTGTGTCATTGTTAATAATTTGCTGCGTGCTGTGCAGTTGGTAATGAGAGAAAAAAAATATATAAATAAAAACAGGATGATAGAGAAAGAAAAACTGAGGAATGAGAGAGATGTGGTCCTCCAGTGAAGACCTTGGTGAGAAGGACTGCCTGTGAAGAGCTGGCAGCCTGCCTGTTCAAATCAAATACATGTTGATGTTTGATGACTGTCATTGTCTTCCAGAGCATTAAATGGCAGGGCAGTCTATTCCTCGAGGGCGTACCTTACTTCTTCATATCAGTGTCTCGCTTCTACAAAACTGAACAATTAATAAAGGACAAATCGATTGTGCTCCTTTTGAAAATGAAAAATGAATCCTGGCTCTGTATTTATCGTCTAACTTTTTAATTGATGTAGTCACCTTGGCTTGTTGTTTTCTGCTGCCTAACTGATGTTTTCCAGTGTTTTATTATAGTTGTGTGCATGTGTCAGATGTGTTTGATCAAGCATACATGCATGCGCACAGGTGCTTTATACTGAGCTGTATGTATTCATTTGTAAAGCAGGCCACCTGCAATCTGAAGGCAATGCTTAATTCAGAAACAAACTTCACTAACATGTACATTTAAAGCTCCTTTTTACGCTTGTTAATCTGTCTGCTTCTGATACACTCATGATCAACCTACTCGCCTCTTGATGCTCTGCCCTGTTGTCACATTTGTAACATATGAAGCTGAAAAGAGGTTGGTTTTAAATGTTATGAAATATATATTTTTTCCTAATATCTTCTTTTATTGGCGATATTGGGAGTTACTAACTTGTTTACCTGAGAAAAAATAGTTTTTTATCTCTCAGTAATACATTGTTGATGCTTTAAGTGTTCACATAACGCATTGAGACTAACTTACCAGAATAAATTACATTGTATTACATGTAAAGTAGCAGACTAAAATTAAAACAAAAATCGAATTTATAGTGTAGATAATGAGGCTGGTGAAAAATATAATTTTTATTTTGTAAATTCTTGGAAATAACGAGAGCATGCAGCACGCATTGACAAGACAACAGCAGCAGAAAATAAGCTGAGAGATCATCACTAACGAGCTAATGAGCCCAGAACGTGATTTAATCAGAGACTGGTTCCTTTTTTTTGTTTTGGTATTGATCCTTTTGACACTAGGATTGATACTCAAAGCAAGTTATCGTTAAGCCCATCCCTGCAAATAAAGTAGCTAATAATAGCTTCCTCATATTTGGGTTTAGAACCCACTGACTCCACTGACTTTATAAGTCTCTGCGAGCACTACTAATGTTTAAAAAAGGTGTGTAAAGACTTTTGTGGCTCCAAGAGGGAGCTTGCATGAAGTCTGCTAAATTTCCTCAAGTGATGTCATTTAAGTCAGCTGAGGTTAAAATTTGAATTGAATTTTGAAATTTCTGCGGCTGTGAAGTTAGTAAGAAGTGAGCCTACCAAACCTCTGTAGCCCGCTTTATTTCTTACGTCTGTGTTGCTACCAACATGTGGAGCCTCTGTTGGCCAGGTGCAGGTAGCACAGACTCAACCGAGTTGTGGAGCGGTTCGGTTTTTGGGCCTCAACAGAGCTCGAGAGGGGTTGAGGGTGGGGGGTCCAGTGGGGTCCTGGATCACGAAAGGTGGGGCCTCCAACTCAAAAGATGTTTCCCCAAGAGGAGCAGCCGAGGCAGGGGGAGGTTGTGAGAACGACCTCTCAGAACAAACCATCGCTGGCCCAAGGCGGTCACACTTTAAGGGAATAGATCATTAGGTGTAATTAGGGTGTTCACATTGTCATGTACCCCCCCGGTTGCCCAAGAATGAATAAAATCACCAGATACACCCCCCACTCACACTCACACACACACACAGCAGCTCCCCAGTTAGTGAAAACACTTTGATGTCAGAAGAGTCGTCCAGAACTTGCCAGCATAAAGGCAGTGTTTTAAGCTTTCTCTCTTTTCTCCCCCGTCTCTCTCTCTCAACCCCTCTATCCCTACCTCCCTCTTTTCTTCTCTCCCTCCACACAAGGCTGTAAGACACACATGGTTGAATGAACGACAACCTTTCCCCTCCTCCCCTCTCCCTCTCTCTCTCCCCCTCTCTCCCCCTTCGTCTCTTTTTCAGCCTTCCCACCCCGCATTTCTTTGAGGCCTGGTCAATTCTCTGGGCCAAACAAAAAAAGCATCAAATGTTTTCTGCTGCTGGGTAATGAGGGAGTGGACCTCATCAGGGCCCAATAGTCAGCTATCCTTGGCTTTTGTTGCAGCTCAATGGCACCGCGCTCTTTGAAAAACTCAAAAGCAACTTTTTGAGGAGTAAAGGATAGAGAAAGATATGGCATAGAGGGAGCGGGTGCAGAGGGGAGCAGAGGCAGCCACTAAAAAAAAAAAAAAAAGCCACTCTGTTTTTATGCTAAACGGCTGTCCAGAGAAAGCAGTGGACAGCTTGGACAATGACATGATTGGAGCTACATGTGTTTGGATGACTTTCTTCTAAAGAGACTCTGATTCTCATGTCTGTCATCTCTCTCTCTTCTGTCTCTTCCTCCCCTCTTGTGTCTGAGCTTGTGAATGCATCCGTGCAAGTAGTGAAACTCTTAATTTGCGGTGGCATTGCTCCCATGCTGCTTTTCTGTGAGTCAGCCACACATAGGACTAGTTTTTACTTCACCAGTACAAAAAGCTAATATTGTAGCATGACTCATGATGATAATAAACCAGGGCTGCAACAACTGATTATTTTCCGTCATCAATTTAATCTGTCAATTATCTTTTTGATTAAGAGTTAAGTCTTTAAAATGTCAGACAATAATGAAAAATGATGCTCACAATTTCCCAGAACGGCATCTTCAGACGTCTTGTTTTGTCAAACTAACCATTGAAAAACCAAATATATTTGATTTACAATCATAAAACAGAGCAAAGCAGCAAATCCTCACATTTGAGAAGCTGAAACCAGTGAATCAGCCAGTTTCCACCACACTTCACTTCCATTAGCCCAGGACTCATTTTATGGTTTTGCATTTTTACTTCATAAATGACAATTAGTCAATTAATAAAGTTGTTGCCAATCAATGTTTTGTTAATCAACTCATCAATGAATTTTCTAATCATTTCAGATTAAGACACTCAGATTGTTTAGTTCAATTTTTATTATTCTTTTGACCCATTAATGAGTTAGAAAAATCACAATCAAAAATAAACACAAAGGAATGACAGACATGCAATCACATATTGAAGATATAACAAATTTGAGCATTGTAACATAAAAAAAATACAATATGCAAAGTAATTTCTGCCTTACTATAATCCCAGTATTTGGGTTTTAATCTGCAGCAAGACCCCTCAGTGTACTTAATGAAGAATACCCCAGACATTTTGTCCATTAAGTACAGTCATTTAGTTTTAGTGTATATAGTCTTTTAGTTATTGTAGGATGAACAGAGTGACACAGTCACATATCTTCATTATTTATTCATCTGTTCCTATATTTCTTGATTAATTGATGAATTTATCAACCTATAAAATGTCTGAGGATGCAAAAGAAGAGCCCAGTATGATGCCTTTTGAATTCCTTGTTTTTTCCAACAAACTGTGCAAAACCTAAAGATTTGATCAATTTGCGAGGATATAAAACAAAGAAACGCAGCAAATGTTCACATTTGAGAAGCCAGACGAAGCAAATGTTTGTCATTTTTGCTCAAAAACAACTAATCTATAATCAAAATGGTTGATTAAGTGGTTAATAAAGTACAAAAATCACTTCAACAGTACACCTGACAAAAACAGTGCAATAGTGCAGCACGATATATAGAATAAGCTAAATGGACAGTCGGGGATGAAAGTGTAAGTTGCAAAGTAACTGACTAGGATTGGAGTGAGAAAAGCATGGTGGTGGAGGAGGAGTGGGGGGGGGGCAAGACCACAATGTGTAGGCGGATGAAATCTTGGAGGAGTGAGAACTTGACAATCCTCTCAAGATGGATAATCAAGTAATGACCCGCAAGGCCTCAGCCTCATCTGATTATAAATAACCAATGGAATCATCATCACTGATTGTGTTTCCATTCCTCCTTTTTTCCCCTCTCTTATTTGTACCTCGCTTCTCCGTCAAGAAACGCATCAGCCCTCTTTACCGTAGGTTCATAAAGGGAGGGAGTAGAAGATGGCAGGAGAGAAAAGACAAACTGAGATTCTAATGATGTGGCGGCGATAGTGACAAGTTTTTTTCTTCTTTTTTTTTCCCATTTTGGAGGGACTATTTACCCGTTGGTGGGGTCACAGTAGGTTGATGAAATGACACCTCCCTTTTGTGCGTGGGGGAGGGCGAGTTTGTCAGGTTGTTATTAAGCCTGATTCAGCCAATTGGCTCAGAGTGGGAACCCCGTTTGTGTGAGCGGACATGGAGATAAAAAGTTGACAGCGGAGAAGAATAGAGTATTTCCGTCCCCTTGCTTTGTGATGATTACTAATTATCCTGCAGCTTAAGGAGGCCAGTGGCAGAAATTCACTGATTTCATAATTTACTGGAGCTGTCGTCGAATACTCAGTCAGCCGGCGATGGCTTGGATGGGATGATATGCAATTCCTTTCTTTTCTTTGATAGAATGGTGGAGATGATGATTATAGTTTGTGCTGTACTCCCTGACATGAATCCTGTTGACGTTTTACACTATCTGGAAAAGTTTGAACTCTGCATCACAAGTTCACCCCTGCTTTAACACAATTGAATAGCTGGCGGAACAAAAGATCAGCTCAATAAACCATGAAGACGTGACCACAAAATCCCAGCGCTGTCAGAGGAGAGTAAGATGTCTCCTGCCTTCTGTGTCGCCCTGTCGTTGAATTTGTTCCCTCATATACTGTATATTATACTGAGAGGGAATCAGTGACACAAAGCTCTTATTGTCTACTTTTCACATAGAAGCTGTTTTTATAATGTTGGCACATACTATAGCATTGTATGATTAGAATCCAAAATAATGTATAATGTAGTAACACAAGAATTGAAGTACAAACACAGATTCCTTGGCACAAACTCAGTTATCTCAAAGACTTCCACAAGACAATCAATCTAATCCGAAAAGATAGCATCTGATCTGACCTTCCTAAGGTTTATTCATTTATATGTGGCACCTTTTCAGTATTTCCCTTCCATATTTATTTATTTATTTATTTTTATACTAGAATCTGATATAAAGGACAGGTGTGGTGACATTCTTTATTTTTCTCATTGGATGCTCATGCTATATGTCTATACAGTGGAACTACATGTTTTTACATAGAAAACCTGGTGGCTGACAGCAACAGCAAAACCAGAAACCCTAATCTAAGCTTCTGCTCCTAAATGTGAAAATCCTTTAGAAATCCAGATGCAGGTTTAAACAACCTGTAGGTTTAGCTCTAAGGCTAAATGAAAAGCCTGACAGATTTGCGCAGATTGTGTTCCAGCTTTTGGGGATAATTGATTACAAATTTGGTGCCATCCTTTATATGAAATAACAGTGATTACATAAAAAACAACCAAAACAGTGAGTTGATCCTATTTGTCTATTTAACCAAAGCCTGACTATGTGTATACTGAAACTTATATAATTTATATTTAAGTTCTAATTTGTATATTATTTAGAAAGTACTTGCTTTTCCTTTCTAGCATTGCTTTTAAACGTAAACCTGCCTACTTTTTTATTATTTTATTTTGACCAACTTTTAATTTGTTCCTCTGTATCTTTGTGTTTGTGTGTGTGCAGGAGTACTGCCACACCATCTGCTTGGACTCTGGAATTGACTACAGGAGGCTGGACAAGGCTGCAGCAGGGAAGCTCTACTACCTGTAAGTCACACACTAATATTGGTCCCATTTGCTCCTCTGTTTACTGTCTACCTCAGCTTAGGAACAGGGGTCTCAAACTCAAATTGTCTTGGGGCCGCTTGCTGTCATCTCATATGAGGGCCGCTTCAACATTCATGTACTAGACAGAGCAATATTCTGACTTAACTATTTATACTTAACAAAAAAACAGCAAGGAACAGTTTCTAAACATTTTTATATCATCTTTGTTGTCTAAAACCTTTTGCACACATTTGCAGTAACCTTGGCAATTATTTTTCAACAAGCAAAATACATTTTGTATAGTAGAATTGTGTTTTTATTTTGGTTGTAAGCGAAGGGGTACTTTACGTTCATATGAAAAATAAATAAAAAGTCTAAAAGATTAGTAGCTGTGCAGAAGTCTAGTAAAGAATTGAGATTAACTGCAACATACTCACAAGCATTTGCACACAAACACAGGAAATGTTTGTGCATATCATCGAGTTAGATTTTTTTTTTAGGGATAGAAAGAGAAGGCAAACAGATAGATAAATGAGGAGAAGCAGACTTGGAGATTTATAAAGACCAACATAACCTTGAGAGATCCGTGAAAAGACTGAAAAAGGAATCAATAGAATATGAGAAAATGGCAGAGCTTTAAAAGCTAGTTTTCTATTTTCCTCATTACATATACGCTGTTAGGAACACACACGTAGACAAACAAGGTATGAATGACACTGCTGTTGCTCATCGCTGTATTGGAGCTTTCAAGTGCTTTCGTCTTTTCACTGTATGTAAATAGAGCACATCACACCCTTTTACCTGGAGTTAAAACACAAGCACACATACGGACACAAATACACACGCTCATTTTGACGTGCATTCACAGGCTAATGCTTGTGTTTACAGCCTAACATCCTGTCTTTTACTGATGGAGTGAAAAGCTAAGTACCCCCCCTCCTATGCTCTCCTTGCTACCACCGTTTGATGTGGCCACTTCACTATTATTAATTTCATATCCTATTTTTTTCTTCTCTGTTTCATTGCCTGTGCGTGTGTGAATCTGTGTGTCTGTGTGTGTGTTGCTCAGCACAGGGGAGCCTGGTGCAGAGGCCTTCTTGGATGCGCTGTTTGAGGAGCTGGCATTAAGACAAAAGAGTGGTAAGGAAATTAAAGGAACTCACCAACTTTTGGGGAGATTTGTCCACCAGTCAGCTTGCTCCATTAAACAGATATCAACATTATACATTCTGTATGTCACCAGTAAATTATTTAATCTGATGCAGCGTGGTAACACTTTTAGCGATAGTAGACAAATAGCATAATCCAAGTAACAAAGAGTGAGCTGACACAGCATTATTGTTGTCCAGGGTCTGGTTTACATCCAAAAACTGCATACTTTACCATGTTTTCTATCAATACTTTCACTATTTGGTGGTGCAAAATCTCGCTCTCTCTACTGACAAGTACGCTCTGGTTTCAGGTTTCGGGTTTCTTTACTGGTGGCCTTTGCTAGACAGCAATTGGCTTTCAAATTTGTACCAAATCAAACTTGCCTGGGGTACTTTTGAATCTCAGATTTTAGGGAAGTGTACAGACATCTCCCCCTTCACTAGAGGAATGTGAAAACACCTCTCTAGTGACAAACTTTCCACAGATTTAAGTCAGTAAAGTCAAGATCTGACATTTTCGGGAACAGAAGAAAAGCAAATTTTTAGTGGAGGGGGTCCAGGTTGACTCTAGTTTAGAAGCTGGCTGTATTTAAGTTGGCTAACTTTCATTCCTTCATAGATTTGTTTTTTATGTTTTTTATGTAATGTAACTGTAAATGTGATGATAAAAACTGTACGATATGAAGATCAGTTAAATTGTTGGGTGTGTGTTTCCATAGTTACAGGTCCTCGGTTGCTCACAGTGCTGGGCAGAGACGTGACGCTGGAAAAGACCTGTGGCTCCATCGCTGACTGTACTTTTGATGAGCTCTGTGGCAGAGTGAGTGTTTTCATCCTGGTTTGTTTTTTCTTAAAATAGTACACCTAAAACTCAATTTGCTTCATTGCCAGCATTCTGTAATCAAAAAAACAACCGTTTAAAGAGTTTCACAATAACACATAGTCTTAATGATACTCATTGCTGTAGATAATCACCATCTTTAGTTATAAAGAAAAACTAGAAAAAGATGGTTTAGAAAAATAACACTCACCTTAGCTGTTTCTTCCAAAGTTATATTTAAAATACAGGAGGAGGTGAGAGTTTCTCCCTTTTTACTGTGTTTTTACAGGGTAGAGGGCAACATGAGGATTGATAAACAACAGATATCCCAGTTACATTGCCAGGTAGTGTGCATTGTAGACCACCTGAGCACTGGCACGCTCCCAATCTCTTTCTGACTCACACACAGACATACAGTGCACTCTCACACAACATCCACTCACCACTAATCAAAACTGCTGCTCAAATTCAAAGCACTTCTTTTTATTGCCTTTGCATTCTGTTTCTTCCCTGCTCTGTGTACTTATTGTCTAAGCCTTTGCTCTCAAACTGAATCACCTTCCCTCCATCTCAGTCCTATTCTCTGCTCAATGTCAAAAAGCAAGTCTATTGACAATTTTGTGAATAGTTGAGCCGCAAATAAAGCAGTATGGTAGCGTATTCTGCAGTGTGTATGTGTGTGTAAAATCTGATGGACAGAGGTGAGCTTTTGCAAGCATCTGGGCTTCAAGGATTCTTCTTCCCGCTGACATATGTTGGCAAGTCCACATTGATTTTGAGAGCAATCATCCTGAATGGCAAAGAACCAAGGACTGGAACTGAAATGACATCAGTCTGAGCCAAACATACAGACTGCAACATTCATTGTGCACATTGGGGCTGTGTGTGTTTATGAGATCACTGTGCACATGTGCTGCACTGAACCTCTGATGTGCTGCTGTAGATTGGAAGTTTAAGTGTGACTTTGTACCAGCATGTAAACCTGCTGAATTGTTTTCCAGCCCCTGGGTGCCAGTGATTACCTGGAAATGGCACAGCTCTTTGACACCGTGTTCATTCGCCATGTTCCCATGCTGACGCTGACTCTGAAGGACCAGGCCAGGCGCTTCACTACCCTCATAGACAACTTCTACGACAAAAAGGTATCTATTTGACAATAAAGGAATAAAATGCCCAAAAAAATAAAAAGCAAAGCATTTGGTGACAGAAGGGACTATTGGTTTACCACTGGAATTGAAATAGTATATACACTATTCGCTACTGCAAAAAATAATATTACTGTAGTATCACTGCATTGCACTGCATTCAGTAGTCCTAATTTGAGTGCCAACCTCATGTCAGCGCACTTCCTATGAACTGTAATTTTATCAATCAATTTTTTATTGCATCGTAGAGGAAATTTGATTCTGTAAAAAAAATAAAAGTCAATATGCATTTAGATCCTCTCATCTCAGGGATGCAATAAAACACATCAAATTGACCCGAAATACAAGTACTATTGTTTTAAGGAGGGAATGAATGAACGGTTAACCGCTGTTATTTAATATTGATCACAGGAAACGGACACTTAATCATTAATAATATGCAAGTAACCTCCATAAATAAACAGGACATTCCTCCTGTGTCTGATCCCTCTGTTTTTTCCTCCCAGGTGAGAGTGGTGCTCTTGGCGGCAGCTCCTTTAGATCGGCTGTTTGTCCACAGTGGAGGGGAAGATGAGAGGGACCGACAACTACTGGATGACCTAGGCCTCAGCGGGGTAAAAAAAATCTGCTCCAACAGAATATGACAATTGAAACAGCATCAAAACATCATCATCATCATCCTGTCAGCAATGAATAGATGCTGTGTGTTCCCCAAATCCGATTGTTTAGTAGTTTGTGGATTCAAACTTATTAAAGGGCCTTTACAGTATTATGATAACATTGACACAGGTCTGCAGGTGGTGAGTAAAGAATTTTATTGTTAGGTATTCATATTTTTTACTTTAAGCCTACTAATTGGAATAAACCAACAAAAATTCTAATGCACAGTTCATGTTGTATCATATGTCAATATGGCATTTATTTATTTGGTTAACTGCTGAACATTTTCATCCAAAAAACTGTTCCCTTCACATATTTTCTTTAAACTGCATATTTTGAAGTTTTATTTTATTAAATTTTTTTCAATTTTACTTTTTCAGGACCATCTTTTTCAGAAATACCTTTCTCACACTGACATAGTTAAGACACACTTCGATCCTGCAGGTCAACCTTCTGGTCTTAATCCTGTTTGTCTAACCCAAATGTGTTTAAATCCAGCTGCTAACCCTGCTGTTGTGTCCTCTCTTCAGAAGGCAGCAGAGCAACTGACTCTGTTCACAGCTGAGGAGGAGATCTTTGCCTTCCAGAGGACCATTTCCAGACTGATGGAGATGCAAACGGAGTCATACTGGATGGAGGGGGGCCGCAGTCACAGCAAGAAACACATGAACACTTAACATCCACTGCCTGATAAGCATATACCTCCAGACAACACTGTACCTCAGTATATCCGAGTAAGATCTGATATCCACAGTAAATATATAACTATACAAAACTACATATCTGTTTTGGGTTTTTTTCAGCATGTGTGTTTTACTGTCTGATCCTCCTCTGTGAGGTGTGCTCTCTCCCCCTTGTGGACTATTTTTTATTTAAAAAATATGGAAACCTCTCCAACATGAGAGAACCACAAGGCAAACAGGTGCTCACTTCTCAGAGAGAAAGAGGACCAAGTGTCACCCTGAGTAATTGTCTGCCGCCCTCTAGTGGGTGAATGTGAGAAGGGTCAAATATTCTCAAGCTGTTCTTGTTTTTATAAAACTATGTCAGTCTCAACTGTATAAAACAAAACCTGGTGTAAATTTAAAATATAATGCACAATATTAATTATGTGTGTTTGATGAGTGAAACTCGAATTCAGGGAATTGTTGAGGCATCTTTATGTTAAGCTCATTGGCTGTTACATCGGTATTGATGTATTCCAGGTTTGGATCCTTAATCAGGTAGAACTGATTTCATTTTGACTTCGACTTAACTGAAGAGGTTTGACTACAGTTCTAACACTGTAACACTTTGTTACTATCTGGGAAATTTGTCTTGCATAATTATAAGATAGACATACGCAACTGTAAGCTGTAAACTGCAGTAAAACACATCAGTATAATAAAATTGACAGTTTTTGCACATGTAATTTTGCATCTTCTACTTTTTTGACAATGTGCAGGCATTTCTTTTCTATGAGATGAGACAAAATAAACCCTAGAGCCATGCAAAAATATTTTATATTGCACAATTTGATGATGTTACATTGACATTGATAGTAGTTGTCTTATGACTGTCACTCCAAACTGAAGCTTGTAACATAAAAATTAAAAAAAATACATTTTGTCCTTCAAAATGATCTTTAAAGCTATAATATATTTTAGAGGATAATCACATTTCTCTTTTTTCATCTACATTGTAGTTTGGAACTTCTTCCTATATGCCTGTAGGTGGCAGCAGCGGGCAACCAATCTTACAGGGTTTGTTATTGCGTCCATGTAAGGATGAGGTCATCCTAGTGCACCACTCCAGCCTGGACCAGCCCGCCCTGACAGCTACAGTCAGAACAGTGAGCAGCACGTACAGTATCCAAACCGAGAGCGTTATATAAATACTGTGTTTGCACCAAGTGTCCAAGCAGCCAGTATGATGAAACAACAAATATATAATCTCATAAGATCCAAGTGACTGTGTGTGTGTGTGCACGCAGGTGTGTGGATGTGTGCACAGATGCATGCTGGTGACGTGTATCATTAAAAAGAGCTTGAGTCAGTAGCATGGCCCCAAGTCTATCCCACTATAACTCTCAATTAAAGAAAAATCAATCATGCCCTATGCTGAGGCCCTAATCCAATCAGAGCATTATGCTGTTTGGGGGAAACATCAGACACAAACAGAGATGGCCGCCATGCTTTGTGATTGTCTTAATTGGATGATTCACGCTGGCTTAGATGGGTGGTCATAGACTCCCATTACTCTCAGGACCACAGTTTTAATACACCATACTGACGGAGGGATGGCTTCACCTTTTGTATCTTTCTCAGCTGAAATAAGAACAAAAATTGATGAATCACAAGATGTGTTTAGATTTAGATTCATACGGTTGTAAGACTTTGAAGTGAGGAGGTCTGGATAAAATCAAGTTTTGAAGGAAAAGAGTTGACAATACCAATATGTTAAATACTGAATGGAGCTCCAATATTGTCCTGATACGAACAGGCTGCATTATGTTAGTTATGAAGTGCAGAGTTAAGTGTGTCCTATCTAAAGAAAAAGAGTGATAATACAAATGTGTCGGTGTTGTGTGTGTTTGCGTGTGTGCATGCATTAATGTGCCCCGGTGCAACACTAATATGGTCCTCAAATTGGCATCTAGGGTAAAGCTGGCTTATCCTGGTGCAGCATAAATTGGCCAGAGACACTGCATCAGGGTACTGAAGGGACACTTCTGACACTTATTTTGTTCCATGTGACATAGATCAACACATGTTTAATTAAGCTTGTTAGGAAAGATTGGGGGAAAACAATTTCATGTGCATGTACACATCTGTACCCAGATAAAAAAGCAAATGAAAGTCAGTGTTGTGGTCTATACAAAGACACATAAGAAACATCTTAACAGTCGAAAAGGTTAAGAAAATAATGGTGCTGTAATACCTTGCACAGCCAGTCACTTGCAATAACAAATGCTGGGGCTCTTGAAGAACATTAGGCCGGCCCATTCACAGGCAGTAGCAATGTGGAATTACATTTTTCATCAAGGTTTCATCCTTTGCTGGCTATCTCATCGTGGAAAGCTGTAAAGGAGACAAAATAGATGCTATGCTTTCAACGACCAATAGCAAGTCATACTTAAAATCATCTTTAAATGTACTGAGAAGATATTCTAAAGGTTCAGCTTTACATAAAGCAATTAAAAGATGAACAAATATCTCCTGATACAGTTGGCTACCTACAGTATTTCTACACACGCACAAACGCACACTCAGACACCCTAACCTCTCTCTGTTAACTCTATAGTTCTCTGCAGGAGCCAAAGTGCTGCATCAGGTATTCTCTTTGATGTGAAGGGAACAAAAACCATCACATCACAATGTGTGTACGTGTAGACCGACTATCTCCTGTAATCCTGTACAGTACAGACTCCAGACTGCTGCTGCAAATGAATGTGTGTGCTGTACCAACCTGCTTGGTTAACATGTGTGTCACATAGTTATGACAATAATGTCCAACCTTTTGTGAGAGCATCTCTGTCTGCTTGCTGATGGGGAATACTGTGATGAGGACAAAACACAGACACGTGGGTAATATGCTGTTTATTTAGAGGAATGTTTTAATGGTGAATATACTGCAATGTAAGAAATGCACTTAACCCAAAAAATAACATATTATTGTGAAATAAAATACACATATAAGTATCACAGACACACCATGACTCCATGCAGTAATATTGAAGTGATATCTTGTTATGGTCAGCTGTGAATGCGCATTCCTGCACAGAAACCGCACATGCACACGCAGGTGGACGCGCACCTTGCACGTCAGGCAGCCCTCGGTGGAACAAAGAAGATGTGGACGAGGCTGTTTTGATCCTGGAGGAGGAGGAGGAGAAGGAAGAGGAGGAGGAGGGGGAGGAGGAAGGTCCAAAGCATCACTTACAGGATGGAGAACCATCTAGGATTTCTCCCCTTATCTCTCTGGCTAATAAACGGGATGACATCACCCTGAACGAGGTGGAACGGGCTCCAGAAAGGGGGCGTGGCCTCAGCGCCGTGACAGACGTGATTGACAACCTGGTCCGCTGATTAAAGGCACAATCAGTCACTGCAGGGAGAGAGTGGTGTGCATGAAAATGTAAGGGTATGACATTTCAAATGCTTTTATTATGAAGCACCATCGTGTCAGTAACATGTAACAATGTCATATGATACAACGCTTCTTTATGTACATAGTAACATACATATAGTACAAACTCATATTGTGAAACATAGAGCAATAGTATATTACATTACATCTGGAACCGTATATGAATAAGATCAGGATGTTTTAGAATGTAAAATATTTACTTAGTAAGTTTTTTTTACAATATTCCAAGATAAAATCTTGTTTCTTACATTAATGTTGTGGTTCATCTCTTATGGAATTGCTGTATATAATATTTGAATTGCTGAGGTGGCACCATTGATAAAATCTGCCGAAACACAATTTCTTCAAAAGTTTTGGATGATGACTGTTGGTCTTTGTGAAAGAAAAGCTTCTATTCCAACACTGTAATACAGTATTAATCTGTCGGAGGTTAAACGATTAGTCGATTAATCAAATGACAGAAAATCAGCATTATTTTGAGTCATTTTTAAGCAAAAATGTTGAGAGTTTACTGGTTGCTGCCACTCAAATATGAATAGTTGCTAGTTGTCTATGACAAAAAACTAAATATGTTTGAAATTTGGACTATTGGTCAAACAAAACAAGCCATTTGAATATGTCAACTCGGGCTCTGAAAAAACTGTAATTAACTTTTTCCATAATTTTATGAACCAAACAATCAGTAAATCTGAAACATAACTGGTAGAACAGTTACAAGTGTCATTTGAAGCCATAAACAACTGTTCAATCAAAATAAATGGATTCCAACCAAATAGAAACCTGTAGCACATCTGTAGTGCCAGTGACACCAAGATGTATCCTGTTAGACATGTAAACAACCCTTTTTAACAGCACAAGTTGTGGGCTGTGACAGTAAACAAAAACCTTTGCACATTACACATTGCTCGACTTTAATGTCTTTCCTTTACTGTCCTTATCTTTTCCTGTTGTGTGCCTCTATTTCTGTGCCTTTCACTAACATGTCAGGACGTGTCTCAGCCTCCACCTGCGCACAGAGCGCTGCGTCCTGTTGGACTGCAGTGTCTCTTTAAAAGGCGATCCCATGCACAGGATCCAGGGGGCTGGCCCTTGATCGACTTGCATGCGCGTGTCTGTCTGTGTGTACGTAAGTGTGCGTTTCTGTGTGTGCGTGTGCGTGTGTGTGTGTGTGAGAGAGAGTGTGTGAGTGTGTGTCTGTGTGCGTGCAGCGCTGAGTGGAGAGAGCAAATCGAGATACAGTAGTAACCCAGAGTGAGGTGGCAGCCTTATTCCACATCGACACTGACTTGCCCTGTACGCATCCTATCTGTCTCTATATCGCAGAGCGCACTTGAGGGGTGAAAGAGGAGAGAGTCAATATGGCATCTGGAAGTGGCCGCGGACAATCCGGGATCTAGTCTCTTCTGGATTTTCTTTTTTTTTTTTGTACCACGGAGCGCAAGTGACTGGCCGTGCAAGGTATTTCATTTAAAGTGTTAAAGAGCGGATTTATTTCCCAGAGAGATGAGGTTTGAGCACTTTCTCCTCAGCCATTGATCTCCGGTGGGTGGATTCATACCCCTCGCACCAGGACGGGAATTTGTGTAGAGTTCCTATTCATGAGCAAGTAGTGTTTTATAATGGAGTGAAGCTCAGAGAGGCGAATCGCTACATTTAAATCCCTTTTTATTAGTTTATTGTAGCTTCATTGGCACACATAGGTTGACGCTGCACGCCGTTGTATTGCATCTTTTAGGCTGTGTGTGTGTGTGTGTGTGTGTGTGTTTGTTTTTTTGCTGGGCTCTAGCTGAATGTGTTGGGTTTATTTTATGTGGCTTTATCTCCTCAACAGGCGTTAATAACTAAGTTGCTCCTGGCCCTGTTGGGACTTCGCTGGTGTGGAATAGCAACAAAGGACGGGAGCGTGCATTCATGGGACGCGACTTTGACAGCTCATCATTTCTTGTCTTGTAACTTTATTACCTGGCAGCGGGGGCGAGATTGTGACTGGAGCAGGAGATCATGGCCGAGGCTCCGCTCCCCGACACACTCCCGGACTTGGACGTGGCCATCGACCCGGACTTCGAGCCCCAGAAGCGGCCCAGATCTTGCACCTGGCCGCTGCCACGACCGGACTCAAACGCGGTGAAACCGGAGAGCCATGACACAGATATTATACCGGAGGAAGAGGATGATGATGAGGATAATGCCACCCCTACGAACATCAGTGTCAACGGCTCTGGTTTGGCGACAGAGGACCAGAGCAGCAACAGCCCCGTGGCCGATGGAGCGCTCTCCTCCCCCGGCCAGGAGAGCGGAGGCTCCCCGCTCTCCGCGCACTCCCCGGCGGCCACCTCTGGCGCGCTGACCCCCAGCAGCTTGGCCGCCCAGCAGACCCCGAGGAAAGCATCATCTCGCCGTAACGCCTGGGGGAATCTCTCCTACGCCGACCTGATAACCAAAGCCATTGAGAGCGCGCCGGACAAGAGACTGACATTGTCCCAAATTTATGACTGGATGGTGAGATCCATCCCCTACTTCAAAGACAAAGGCGACAGCAACAGCTCTGCAGGATGGAAGGTAAGAGTCGGAGTCGTCCCACTCACCCACCCCAGCCCCCCTCCTTCCTCCATCAAAACAAAAACAAAAAGCATGTGGCTCGTAAACCCACTGACGCACACGCACACACAGACACACGCACACAATTATGCCAGCGCAGTCGAGTTTTTACGAGCGTCTATTTGGAAAGTCTGGCACTCATTATTCCTCTCATTATCATTCTAATGGAAATTACAGATCAGTCCGAAAACGTCGAGCAAATGAGAAAAAATCACATCGGGGAGGCATTTAGGATCATTAATCTTTCTAAGCAGCGCGGGGTTTGGTGACCAACACATAGGCCTAATTATCTTTTAAATTGACCCAAACGTGATATTTTGCTCTCATTCACAGATATTCAATAGATTCCAAAAAAAAAAGGTTGCGCTGTTTTGAATGAAACCGCACTAGAAGCATCCCCTTTGTCTTTTTCATTTGACGTTTCTGATGAGTTATGTCCATGATATTCCTCCGAGGCCACAGTCACAGTCACATGGCTGGAATTAGAGCAAACAGAAACGTTGGAACCGGTTTGTCTGGAAACACAGTAGCCTATTTTGAGTGATGCAACCCCGTTTAAGACTGCGAGTATGATACAATTACATAAGGCAGTTTACTGGACAGCAGCTAATCCATTAATAGGACAAGGAGCTGGATGTAAACAAACCGGTTTAACAATAATGCTGCATGGAAAAGTGTAAATCCTGAGAAGACCTCTCCACTGTGAAGAATCAATGAGGTCCTCTTGCAGCCATTGAGGATTTTTTTTGTGGTGGTGAATAGTGAGATTATAGTGTCTTATGGTTTTATCACTTCATGTGTTAGCTTTTATATTTAGAGGCTACATTTCTGCACTCTAACCACAGTGGTCCTGTTTGCCATTTGTTATGTAAACCTTGGCAGGGATCTGTCAGTCTCTTGGGTCAGGTATGCTACTGCCAAGGTGGCTTATCCTGCCATGGGGAAATTACATAACCACTGGGTTGCCGGGAGTTTGGGTGTGCTGTTAAGGGTAAATGTTTTTTAAAGGCAGCTATGCAGTCACCCAAAAGACATATGGGACTTACAAAAAAGAGACAGTGAAGGAGGGATGCACAGAAGGTCAGAGAGCAGAGATTAACACCCATCAGAGGCTGGAGGACCAGGCCTGTGGGGGTGTGGAGCCTATAGGCCATATTTTGTCAGGGCATCTCAAGTTTTGCTATGTGATATACTTCAGTGAAGAGCAAAGAGGGAGGTTGTGTGTGTGTGTGTGTAGGCCCACCAAGTCAAGGCTGAGTTCACCATCACCATGCAGGGCTGTTACTCCTGGAATTTCGGGCATGAGGGCCAGGCTGTTGGTGGTTTAGTGTTACACTTGGTCTGTCAATAAATCTCGCCTGCAGCTCACAACCTATGCCTTCTTTTAGTTTTCATATAAGAGACTCTTTTCAATACAGACTCTAGTTGTTTTCTTCTGCAAACACAGTTGTGGAAACACACAGTATCACATATGAGTACAGTTTAGATGGAGCAAGTTTACATAGACTTCTTTAATATGACAGATCTCTGCAGCTCCAAACCGACAAGCAGGTAACTCAGCATTAAGGCCAGAGCATGCCACAAGCTGCTGTTAGGTTTTTAGTAAAAAGCCCATGAAACCAGAGACGGTCTGCAGAGCCAGGTGTTCACAGGACTACCTCTGCACAGGAACTTTTTTTCAGAGCCCCTCCGCTCTCCATTTCACTCTCAGAGACTCTTAGGTTTCGCCTCCACACAGAGCAGGGTTTGAACACCTACAGTTTCATGCAGCCAGGGCACCTTTGTTGAGGAGATTTGCTGAGCAAATCCTAGTAATCCCCCTGGGTTTCTCTCCCAGGTTCCCACTTACGTCACTCTATTTCATATCTTTGTCAGTTAACCATTAGCCCCGGTAAAAGTAGATTAAGACAGCCAAGCATAACACTAGGAAATCTTTTATCACCTTAGATTGTCCTTAACCATAAGATGCCACCACACAAGCTTTAAATAGTAACACAATGCTTAATCATTTACTTGTGCTCACACAATGAAGAAACATAAAGTACATACAGTGCCGACTGTGATTTAACCCTGATCTCAGTACTGTCAACTGGCATCGAATGTCTGCTCAGATTCATAATCATAAGGACTTATTCTTAAATCAGAAAATTCCATATTTAAATAGAAATTTCACAGTTTGGGGGAAACCCTGCACTTTTGTTAGACACATTTGAAATGATACCCAACCGTAGTCTTTTTAGTGATACATTTTGAAATAAATCATTCATGATCAACAAATCAAAATAATTCTTGTTTGCTGTTTAGACTTTGTCAGCTTAAGTAGTGGAGCCTTTTTTTAGTAGCACACATCATACCAGCACAGCCGGTGAGGTTTCCAGCAGGAGTTCTGTCCTGGAGGGCCAGGTCTGGTTAAGAGCTGCTGAAATTTGTGCTTAGAGAAGCTTTGGTATGGAGGGGGAGTGACGGGCTGCATCTCAAAATAGCACCTGTAAACACGCCTTTAACGCTCTGACTGTGTGTGTCTTTCACCTGTGTGTCTTTGCATAATCGAAAGATTAGGTGCACCTGTGTGTATTTGTGTGCAAGTACACAGGCGGGGGTATGTATCAGAGCGTGTGCGCGCATGTGTGTGCAAGTATTCCTGACTGCAGTGAACCTTGTGCTCTAGTGTTACTTAACCCTGCTGTAACAGGCTCCCTGTTCCCAGCAGCTGCCCATCACAGGCCAAGACTTACTTATGTCACAGTGACACTCCACACAAACACATTCAGGTTGTAACGTCCACACAGATTCAAATTCATGGTACATACAGTTCTTTTCTACTTGTGCTTGTGTGTTTTTAAACCTGCTATACATTCCCACACTGACAGACATGCTCAGACATATACAGTGCATTTGCCTGGTCATGTTCAGGCTTATCACCAGAGTTCACTGTGAGTGTCTGCTGCAGGTCTTAATTTAAACTGGGGTCTGAAATTAGTTCAACTCATTAGAATTAATTAATGAGATTATTTTAATCTTCAAGACCCCTAGGGTCACATGGAGTAGTGATCATTGTCAACATGAGGCTGTTTTTAACACGTACATTAGTCTTAGTGTCCTTGTTTAATTTATGGCTATTTGCAGGTACTTCATGTTCAACTCAAGCCACAAACCAGTGAGTCATGACCACAGGTGATAAAGACACCTTTTCTCATTTGATCTCATACTTTACAAAGAGACCAAAAAGAACAGGTTCATCCATGGCGCAACCTTCACACACACAGACAGATACACAGAAGCTACTGCGCTAAACCTCCACACATTCCCCCATCTGACCTTGTCTGGAGGCGTATGGAAAACAGGCCCTTGTAAGCCCGCCGGGCATGTCGATTATCATTTTAATGGCCTAGCACGCTAAAAGTGTTAATTCTTTAGGGCTGAAATTATTTATTGTTCCTATCAGAGCAGGACGGGGAAAAGAAAAAAAGAAAAGAAAACAACATTAAGCCTTTCATTGGCTGCCCATCAATGCAGAGTGGGGTGAGCTTTATGTGTGTGATAAGATCCTGGAGTCAGCCATGAATATCCCTGCAAGACATGGCTACTAGTGGCTGGAATTTAAACTTGAAAGGATTATCTGAGGTCTGTATGAGAAGACTGGCTAGTAAGGAAATTCTTATAATACTACTAGAAAGAGGGTTTGTCTGTGTGCGTGCACTCAGGTCGTCAGAATAAAATCTTGAGGCCTCTCAGATGGAGCTGGCACTGTGCCAAGCTGAAGGAACTGAAGCAAAAAAGGCAATAAAAAGGGGAGTGGAGGGGGTTGCGGGTGGGGAGTGGGCATGAAGACAGTAGAAGGAGGAGAAGGGGGGAGGGCTGAGGGAGTAAATTAACAAGCTTTGCTCTAAAGTGGTGTACTACAACTGCCCTCTGGCTGTGATTCCCAGTGGAGGGGTTTGTGGGTGGGTGAGGCTAAAGGGGGCGATGGGTTATGGGAACCCACCAGCTCTACCCCTCCAAGTCTGAATAGTGTCACCCTGAGCAGTCAACCTCTGCATGGAGGAGAACCCCCAGGCTCTGTTCTAGTTCCATTTCCAATCAATGGACACATTTTTTTCTTCAGATGCCTGAGGAGTTTGAATGCATCAAGATTTTACATCTGAAAATTACCCTATTTGGCCCAAAGTGTGCAGATACATGAGCAATACACCCATATGTGATGGCTGAACGTCTCATTCCAAAACAATTTACATTCATCTGCAGCTATAACAACCTACACTTTTCTTTGAAGGCTTTCCACAAGATTTTCTCCTATTCAGTCACAAGAGGTTTGGTGAGGCTGGTTACGGTATTGGGTGATAAGGTCTGGGTTGTAGTCACGGTTCCAGTTGTTCCTGAAGATGTTAGATGGGGTTGAGGTCAGGGCGGTGTGCAGGCCAGTCAAGGTTTTCAATGCCAAATGTAGAAAACAATTTCTGCATGAACCTCTCCTTTTGGACAGGGGCATTGCCACGTTGAAACAGGAAAGGATCTTCACCAAACTGTTGCTAAAATGTTGGAAGCACACTATGTGATTGTATGCTGTAACATTAAAACTATCCTTAAATGAATAGGTTTTTAGGAAATCCACCGAAAATATGAAATATGAAAGTAAATATGAAGCTACCGCCAGCAGCCATTAAGCTTAGCTTAGCACAAAGACTGGAACCAGGGAACAGCTAACCTTGCTCTGTCCAAAGGTAAAAAACTCACTGATTTGTCAAATTTTCATTATTTCATTATGAGTCCAGGCTTTGCAACTATACAATAATCTAGTTGACTTCTCTGTTTTGAAGTCTCCTGAGTGTTGGTGGATGTATTTGTATCTGCCAGAAAGAAAAGCAGATTTCTGTCTCTCTCATTGGTTTTCTCATCATTTTCTGCGTCCTCACCATCCCAACTCTGTCACACTTGGCATGATCTGTTCTCCTCAAAGACAC